GGGCTCGTGTGCCGGCAGCAGCAGCGCGTTCCCTCCCGCGCTCCCCGCGCCGCCTGGCAGCCCGCCACCGCGCCGGGGGTTCGCTCCTTTCTCACGACCTCTCAGGTTCCTGAGCTCATCTGGGAGCTATTCATTTCCTGCCAGAAAACAGCCTTGCCTGCTAAAAAAACCACCTTGGCCGCAGAGCGGCCCAGGGCTTGGTACGAGGGCTCTCCCGGCTTAAATCATAAAGCTCCGGCTGTCTGGCTGGAATCAAAGGCAGGGCAGGCGTGGGGGGGGCACGGGGGCCTGTGCCATATGGTAGCACTTAAGAGCCAAGGAGGAAGCGAGGAGGGTTTTTTTTGCTGCTCGCGAGGAGTGTGGGAAAAGTTAATTGACTTTAATGACAGGTTTCCTGGGACAGCAGGAGCGGCCGATGGAAGGGAACTGCAGGGATGGAGGGGTAGCCAGGGACGTAAGCTCCACGGTGGGCAGGGAGCATGGCAGGGTGCTGGGGTGGCAGGCAAAGCGCCCAGCCCGCAGACCCCCATGCAGGTGTGCTGCAGGCAGGGATGGAGCCTGCTCCCTCCAGCTCAGCGCTCTCTGGGCTGCAAATGCACACACCAGACTCTGGCAAACCACTTACAAGACCAAGAGCCATAAAGTGAGAGGGACAGACAGACGCGGCTCCAGCCCTCCCCAGGGTCTTCCCTGCTGGCAGGCAGGGCTCAGCAGGGTGCCCAGGGAAGCCAACAGGAGCTGCATGCTGTCTGACAGCACTAAATCCAGTCCCTTTTCCTACCTGCCTTCCACAGCCCTGTGCAGGGTCACAGCCAAATGAGGGGCCACCACCCAGCAGCTCAGCCCTGTCCCTTCCCTAGCACCACATCCCTCCCTTACCCCTGCCTGCTCATCCCACCTCACCAGATTGAAGGCCCTTGCTGCACCTCAAGGGTAACTCCTACATATAACGATCCAGGAAACCATAGCCTGCATTTGTCATCCCAATTTGTCACGGGCTCAGTGAATTGGCATCAAGAGCGCAGCTCCTGGGAATTGCTCTGATCCCCTCAAAGCTCACAAACTCAAGCAGATCTCTCATGTCAACAGGCTGTGAGACAGAGTAAACACAGAAAGCTTTGGAGAAACCAGTCCAAGCATGGCTTTATACTAGGCTATTTAAACTCCATTAGCAAATAGGTTCATCTTGTCTTTCATTCCTGGATCTGCTATGTGTTCTCCATTAGCCTACAGCAAAGTATTTTTTTTTTCTAATGTGCTTTCCAAATCAACCGCTTCGGTAGAGAAGGAACTCTGCTAAGCTGGAACAGCCTCAGCTCCTACAGGTGATTCGGTACTGGTCTGCATCAGCTCCACCCAGGTAGTTGATCTGATGCAATTCCCAGACAGTTCCTGTGACCACTTCTCTGAACACAAGGTGGGCTCAGCTACCTCCAGCACAGAAAGGTGATGCTATAGCTGGTGAAAGGGACATAGGCTCAGCCCATATGGCTAAACGCCTCCCTAGGCACAGCAAATTCCCAAGCCTGGAACACAAAACCTGGCTGCAGGATGGCACCATGAGGGTGGCAATGAAGGCAGGCTAACAAGGTGTTGGGAGACAGAGAAGGGAATGCTCTTCTGTATCATCCAGGGAGATGAGCCCCTGCAGTCCCTCTTATACAAGAGCAGCAACTGGCCCCAACCTCCTCACTACACCCTGCAGAGAGATCCCAGACACACCTCTCTCTTCCCCCTTCAAAATCCACCCCAAGAAATATTTTCAGATCAGGAGAATGTGTTTATATACAGGGAGAAGGGGAGAGGAAGCTGGGGAGGGACTCAAACCCCAGCAGGTTTAATCTGTCTGGTCTATCTATATCCCCAGCTTTCATTACCCCAGCACCTGGATACAGTCAAGCACCTGGCTGATCCAGACAAAATCCAACAAGCTTTTGCAGCAGGATTTGGAAGGAATCCCCAGTGGATCCTGGCACATTTTAAAGCTGTCCGCTCTGAGTTAGGACTTGTTAAGAAGGGCGATGCAAGCTGTAACCGGAGACTGCTGCTCACCTCTATCTAGGGCTTGCATCTCGCCTGGAAATGGGGCATCCCCAAGTCAAAGGGGTCAGTTGCTGCTCACAGTTAGAGATAGTCCGCACAGCTCCACATCACTCCCCCAGACACATGTTTTCCATATAACAGCAAAGGAAATGCCCAAATCTATCAAAAGCACATGCAGAGCATTAATCATCAAGCAGAGCCTGGCTGGTGCTCAGGGCCGGGAACAGCTCTGTGCTTTTAAGTCCAGGTGGAGGTGGTGCCCAGCGCCTGCTGCAGCCTGTCAGCCAGGAGACAGGAGCACTCATGTCAGGCTTGTCCTGTGGAGAGCCGCTGTTTTTGTAACACGAGAAGCTGGCAGGCACCGCTCTCTAAATCAACTGACTGAAGTCATTCGAGATTTACACCACAGCCCGGGAGTGGGCCCCTCCAAGTCCAGGGCAGGAGGCTCAGCTGGGCAGCCTAGACTGGGAGCTGGGCTGTCAGGCTCTGTGCCGAATTTGTCTCGCTTTACCTGGGCTACTCCACTCCCTCAGCCTGAGGAGCCAGGAACAGAGCAGAGGTGCCTCCCTCAACACATTCACCAGCTCCGCAAACACAAGCTCTTTTTAACGAGTCTGATCAGTTGAACTGCTCCCAGGAAGCAACAACTACATCTGCCCCGGGGCAGAGAGAGGGGCCAGGTGATTTCACAAGACGACAGAGGGGACAGAGGGTCTGAGTGACAGCTCCAGCCTGGAGAGCAGGACAAGGCAACCCTGGAGCAGCATGATCCACAGGCAGCCAGGAGCAAGTCAGGCTGCTGGGCTCCCTCCTATGCACACATGCCAGCATTCCAACTTATCTCCAAAGGCCTTCCAAAATGGAAGAGATACTTTTATTTTAAGAGCATTCAAAAAAAAAAAAAAAAAACCCGATCTTTGGTGTCACATAAGGAAGGGGAGGGAAGGGAGAAAAAAAGATCTCGTGTAAAACACGAAACACTGTTGAGGGAGTGCTATGGTACAAAGGCACAATCCAATATGAACATATAACCTATGTACAGCCGTGCCAGCAGCACGGGGTGCGGTGCTCAGTCCAGTCCGGTGCCCACCACCCTCACCAGGGTCTCCAGACCGAGTCGGCTGTGCCGGGTGGCGGGCCAGGTGGCGAGGCGGCAGTGGCGGCTGTGGGTGGGCCACCATACAGGGGCAGCACAGCCCCACCAGGAGCAAAGGCGGTGCTGGGGATGAGGAAGGCAAATTGCCCATCGGAGGCGGGCAGCAGCTGGAAGCCACCGTACACCTTGGCTGCGTCGGCGCCTGGCTTGCAGGGCATGCCCGGGAGCGGCCCCGCGCCACTGCCCGGTGGCACCAGGGGTGGACCAAAGGCTGCGGCTGGCGGCAGTGGGGGCGGCGGGGGGGGCGCAGGGTAGTTCATGGCGTTGATCTGGGTCATGCAGCTGGCCAGGTGGCCCAGAAGCCGGGTGCGCACCTCAGTGTTAACGCCCTCACAGGTGGAAAGGAACCGTGTCACCTCGTTCATGCACTCACTGAAGCCGGCGCGGTACTTGCCCAGCACTGTGGGGTCTGTGCTCAGCGCGGCTGTGGGGGGAGAGAGGCAAACAGCAGTCAGCAGGCTCTGCCAGGGATGGGGGCATGCAGCCCACCAGTGTTACATCCTGCAGCCCCTCCGAGCTGGGAATCCAGGCAGGGAGTGCAGCCCCTCTGGCAACATGTCGCACACTCCTGAGTGCCAAGGATCCAGGCAGAGTGTGTCCCCTCCGGTACAAAGTCCCCCAGCACCAAGGACCCAGGTGGGACACAGACAACACCCAAGAGTCCTCCTATGCCCCTAAATACTGGGGATCCAGGTGAGGAGCACAGCTCTGGTGGAGGGGACCCAAGCAGGGCCTGCAGCCCTCCCAGTGCACCCCCCATGCCTAGGATGCAGACCAAGAGCACAGTGCCCCCCACAGCCCCCCTGTACTGGGGATACAGGTACTGAGAGCACGGTGCCCCCCACGGCCCCCCAGTACCCAGGATGAAGGTGGGGAACCCATCAGCCCCCTGTACCATGGATATAGGTGCAGAGCACGGTGCCCCCCATCACCCCCAGTACGGGGGATGCAGGTGTGGAGCCGGGTGCTTCTCTTACCCTCACTACCGAGGGTGCAGGCAGGGAGTGCGATGCCCCCAGCCGCACCCCCCCACCCCCCGTCAACCCCCGGGACTCACCGGTCATCTGGGCTCGCTGGAGGCTCCGAAGGTGCTTGACGGTCATCTCCAGGATGTCGGCTTTCTCCAGCTTGGAGTGCCGCGAGCTCTGCGGGCACAGGTGGGGCTCACACCGGCTCGGCAGCAGCACAGCCCCCCCCCCGCGCCCCCCTCCC